TAACTGGTTCAAGATTTCGTGTATTCACTAGTTTTAATGGAATGTATCTGGGAGGATTGAATACTGTTATCAGGTTTCTCCAGTAAGTGTCAGAGCTAACTGAAACCATCGGAGCCAGAGAAGAGAGAGACTCCGTCCCGTTCTTGTATTCATTCCATCCTTACATTCATGTCTTCAATCCATCCATTTATTTTTTATATATCCTATCAAGTCATATTTATTTATTTATTTATCTATTCTTTGTGGCAAAGACTCAATTACTTTCATTACTTATAGCATGCGTTAATAATATTTATTTATGTTTTGAAATGCAATATGCGTTACTTTTTTTACTCATGAAATTATAATTAGATTATCAGTAAAACACAAAGCCGATGTCATGATTTCTACATTTTACATTTTTACATTCACACTCAATACCTTTCTATAGAGTACAGCAACGTAGGTCATTCCATAATTACAATGTTTCTCCCTGTGAATTATGTATGGTAAGGTATTCCCGTGGTTTAACCCTTGAATAGGTTTAGGTTGAGCTCCAGGTCGAGTAGAGAGCACTGCCGTGGGAACTCCCATCGTTAAACTCTCTTTTTAACTTATATTTCCGGTACTAGGGATCTTGATACAAGGTAATGGCGGTGTAATTGTTTGTATATTTTCTTTATCTAGTCCTGCACCGAGTAATTATCATTGAGAAAATCAGTTTAATTTAATTATTCAAAATATAGAGTTTGGGGTTGGTTGCAAAACTCTTCCTCTGATTATGAAATCTAATCTTTCTAACCAATCTATTTTTAATGATTTCTCCTTATCTTACGTCAATTATTCAAATAATAATTCTGTGAGCTTTTTAAAAAGAGACATTTTATACGTGTCAAATTAAAAATGTTTGATGAAAATGCATTTGTAAATGGTGTTTGGAAAACGCAATTGTTTTCACTTTCACAAAGAAAAGGCAGAAAATTGAGGGAATTAAATAAATTGCTTCCGCTGGAAGAAAAACGTTCAATAAAAAAAAGCTTAGAAAAGTACAATGTATTGCAAAATGTACAAATTAAAGAATATGTTAGTCAAGTAAGTGCCCCGAATTGCAACTTAATGTCTACACTAAAGTGTCACTAAAATGGAAACTCGAGAAATAAATTCTGAACAAAATAGCATTTCTATGGAAACAACGACAATCAAACTATATGCAGAAATAACATATAGTCAGCTCTATGCAACTAGTAACTATGCAACTATACAGAAACTAACATATTGTCAGCTCTATGCATCTAGCAACTATGCAACTATCCAGAACCCAACATATAGTCAGCTCTATGCAACTAGCAACTATGCAACTATGCAGAAACTAACATATAGTCAGCTCTATGCAACTAGCAACTATGCAACTATGCAGAAACTAACGTATAGTCAGCTCTATGCAACTAGCAATTATGCAACTATGCAGAAACTAACAAATAGTCCGCTCTATGCAACTAGCAACTATGCAACTGTGCAGAAACTAACAAATAGTCAGCTCTATGCAACTAGCAACTATGAAACTATGTAGATACTAACATATAGTCAGCTCTATGCAAGAAGCAACTATGCAACTATGCAACTATGCAGAAACTAACAAATAGTCAGTTCTATGCAACTAGCAACTATGCAACTATGCAGAAACTAACAAATAGTCAGCTCTATGCAACTAGCAACTATGCAACTATGCAGAAACTAACAAATAGTCAGCTCTATGCAACTAGTAACTATACAACTATCCAGAACCCAACATATAATCAGCTCTATGCATCGAGCAACTATGCAACTATCCAGAACCCAACATATAGTCAGCTCTATGCAACTAGCAACTACGCAACTATGCAACTATGCAGAAACTAACAAATAGTTAGCTCTATGCTAGTTGCAACTATGCAAAAACTAACAAATGGTCAGCTCTATGCAACCAGAGACTATTAAACTATGCAGAAACTAACAAATAGTCAGCTCTAAGCAACACGAAACTATTGAACTATGCAGAAACTAACAAATAGTCAGCTCTATGCAACCAGAAACTATTAAACTATGCAGAAACTAACAAATAGTTAGCTCTATGCAACTAGCAACTATGCAACTATGCAGAACCCAACATATAGTCAGCTCTATGCAACAAGAAACTATTAAACTATGCAGAAACTAACAAATAGTCAGCTCTATGCAACAAGAAACTATTAAACTAGCAGAAACTAACAAATAGTCAGCTCTATGCAACCAGAAACTATTAAACTATTCAGAAACTAACAAATAGTCAGCTCTATGCAACAAGAAACTATTAAACTATGCAGAAACTAACAAATAGTCAGCTCTAAGCAACACGAAACTATTAAACTATGCAGAAACTAACAAATAGTCAGCTCTAAAACTATTAAACTATGCAGAAACTAACAAATAGTCAGCTCTAAGCAACACGAAACTATTAAACTATGCAGAAACTAACAAATAGTCAGCTCTATGCAACCAGAAGCTATTAAACTATGCAGAAAACAACAAATCCAACCAACTAATCAATAGTCATCTTAATATATAATCATCAACTATCAAACTATGCAGAATCTAGTATATCGTCAGCTGTATGCAACTAACGAAGTTATCAAACTATCTAACTATCAAACTATGGAGCATGTAACTAAGAGAGTATGCCTGTAATTTTGGAACTGTGTAACTAAAGCAGGGTTATAGGGTGCTTCGCGCCATTTTTCTTTGGTAATATTTGTTGCAGATCTATCTTTAAACTTTTCATACATTTTAAAAAAATAATTGACGGATTTTTCTGTTTTGAGTTCTACCCTGTCTGCTGTCAGCACCAAACATATGGGTTTAAAAGAACGTTAGACAAAAAGAATTAAAAGATTTTAAATAAGAGAAACTGGTGACATTTCAGAAAACAAGGAATAGCTAGTCTGAGAGAGAAAAGGGGGGGGGGGAAGAAATCAGGGGGGGAGTGCGGGAAAGGGGAAAGGACATAAAATGGGGAGGGGGTGTTCCAAATTTGTTGTGACGTATTTTTTTTTTATTCTGAAAAAATGGTTTAAATACTTCTTTTTAAAAATGAAAAAAAAAAAACATTATACCAGAAATTATTTCACAATTCATCTCATGAAACCCCCCAAAAAATGTATTTTTCTGGTTTTTGGGAATCGCTCTGTGTATAGAGTAAGAAGCAGACAACAAAATTCAGGATCTATAAAGAAAAAGTCTACCATCTAAATGTTTAAAATCCAAGGGAAAAGAGACATAAATATTATGGATATTGTATGTGTAGAACTCTAGCTGCAGAATATAAACTGTAAAAACCAATAAACACCAAGACAGCATTATTATACTTACTCATCTTTAACGGAAAACCTTTTCACTTTTTCAGTTTTTTTTAACATTTTACTTTTAACCAAACCGATAACGATAAAAGTCTTAACATGATCAGAATTTTATAGGAGTAAAAGAAAGAGTTATCAATGAGGTACAACATTTAAAGGTTAAAGTGGAACCCAAATGTTCGATAAAGAAATAGAGTTAAGTTACGAATTTGATATTATTAAACCCTGCATATATTGGACTAAAGATTTTAAACCATGTTGGATTAAAAGCAGAGAACTAAAGGTTTTAAACCATATTGGATTAAAATCAGAAGACTAAAGGTTTAAAACTGTGTTGGATTAAAATCAGGAGACTAAAGGTTTAAAACAATATTGGATTAAAATCAGAGAACTAAAAATTTTAAACCATGTTGGATTAAAATCAGGAAACTAAAGGTTTAAAACATATTGGATTAAAATCAGAGAACTAAAGGTTTAAAACTATATTAAATTAAAATCATAGAACTAACGGTTTAAACCCATATTGGATTAAAATCAGAGATATACAGGTTTTAAACCATATTGGGTCAAAATCAGAGAATTAAAGGTTTTAAACCATTTTGGATTAAAAACCATACTTTATTAAAATCAGAGAACTAAAGGTTCAGAACCATACTTTAGTAAAATCAGAGAACTAAAGGTTCAGAACCATATTAGAATAAAATCAGGGAACTAAAGGTTCAGAACCGTATTAGAATAAAATCAGAGAACTAAAGGTTCAGAACCATACTTTATTAAAATCAGAGAACTAAAGGTTCAGAACCATATTAGAATAAAATCAGGGAACTAAAGGTTCAGAACCGTATTAGAATAAAATCAGAGAACTAAAGGTTCAGAACCATACTTTATTAAAATCAGAGAACTAAAGGTTCAGAACCATACTTTATTAAAATCAGAGAACTAAAGGTTCAGAAACATACTTTATTAAAATCAGAGAACTAACATACTTTATTAAAATCAGAGAACTAAAGGTTCAGAACCATGATTATAATAAAATCAGGGAACTGAAGATTTCGAACCAACTTTTGAACCGGTTAAATGTGAAATATGAGAGACGGAGTGAATACTGAATCACTGTCATACATTGAAGCACTATCTTCAGGCACTTGTTGGTTTGAAGGATTACGACGGACTGTTGTTTCCTCTGTTCCATCTTCTCCCCCCCCCCCCCCCCTTCTACCCATTCACCAAGGTCGGGGGAGGGGGGGGACGTCAACAATCCGCGCACGCGCGGTGTTCAGTATCTTACTGTGTGTAGTGTGCATATACGTGGTGTTTTACGGGAAGAGCGCCTCGACCAATATGACTGTGGTAGAGGGGGTGTGTAGGGGTAATAGAGTGGGCGGGACATCTGCAAAACTGTCAAGCTCACAAATTCATAAATTAAAGTGATTTTAACGGCCTAATTCAGTAGTTTTTTTCAATACGCGCGTTGACAATAAGAGCGTATAGAGTTCCTTTATATCCTTAGAAACCGGTCGGACGCGCAGGGCTTTGTTTTATTTCTCATCATACGGGGTGAGGTNGGAGATTTGAAAACAAATAAAAAATTAAACTGTAAAAAAAACGTCAAAACTCTATTTAATAAAAGTGAAAATAAATTTCAGTGAAAATTTAGAAACCTAAACCCCCTTGCAGTCTGCAGAGTTCCACTGTGTTTCCCTGTATATGAAGTGGTGAAATCATCAGAAAGGTAGGATTTGTCTTGTACTCTTGTTTTTAAAACAATATTTTTCTTGTGCTCTTGTTATCAAAATAATATTTGTCTTGTACTCTTGTTTTCAAATCAATATTGGCTTATCTTCTTGTTTTCATAATAATATTTGCCTTGTATTCGTGTTTTTATAGTAATATTGTCTTGTACTTTTGTTTTCAAATTAGTATTTTTCTTGTACTCTTGTTTTCAATTTAGTATTTGTCTTGTACTGTTGTTTTCAAATTAATATTGGCTTATCTTCTTGTTTTCAAATTAGTGTTTAAGTCTAGTACTCTTGTTTTCAAATTAATCTTGTCTTGTACTCTTGTTTTCAAATTCATATTTGTTTTGTACTCTTATTTTCAAATTCATATTTGTTTTGTACTCTTGTTTTCAAATTAATATTGTCTTGTACTCTTGTTTTCAAATTCATATTTGTTTTGTACTCTTGTTTTCAAATTAATTTTTATCTTGCAATCTTGTTTTCAAATTCAAATTTTCCTGTACTCTTGTTTTAGACTATTATTATAAATTTCGTTTAAAAACTCAATTATTTTTAGTTGATATTACGGTGAAATTAAATAAAAATGAACAAATGAAAAGCTTGTCATCTAAATCCATTAAAAATGTCTTAGATACAACAAATTAACCTTGAACTATACCATAAACCTTCTTACTTTTAGCAAGTAATTATTCGAGAAAGGGGCCAGTTTTTAGATTTACCAGCTCTCAGTCAGTATTCGATATTTTTACAATTTAAACTCTTATTCACATACTGATTTTTAAATGCTTTTATAATAAATAAAAAGCTTTTTTTCGAGATAGCCCGGAAGGTGAGATATTCAACTAAAGATTTTGCCAATTTTTTACCTTGTTTCGTTAAGTTGTTATGCTTATTAATCGTCTTTTAAGATAAAAAAGTTCGAATTTTTCACGCAGAGGGGGATGTTTTTACGTAATGGTCCCATTTCCTTAACATCGCGCTATTGAAGGAGATATGGGTCAGTTATGTTGGCGATAAATAATTATAATTATCTTGAAAGGCTATAAAATAAAATAACATCCCGCATCAATTAAATGGTACAAGAAATATTATTACAGTTGGATAATGTTGGTCAAAAGTGGCAAACTTTACAACATCCAGAGTTTTTTTTATCGCCCCCCCCCCCTCTTCAACATGATCTTCCTCCTTATGTAGAAAAATAAACAAATTCTAATCTCGTTGAATAATTTGAGACATCTATAAAAAGAATTGCATTTTCTTATCTAAAAGAAATAATGTAAAAGTTAATTGTAAAAGATCCTTGGAATTAACATATTGCAGATTGCAGTTTGCAAAAACACAAAGATTAAAGGGACTGTAAACGTAATTTCAAAGAACCCTACGATATCAGAGTGGCATGTCAGATTCATGACGGTACCAATTCTACCGAAAATCTGCACGACAATTAAAAAGATGTAGTCGTGTTTATATCTTTCAATGTGTTGAATTCTGAACATTTTCTTCATGGTCTCTGCATCCCATCTCCGCAAGTTACATTGAGAGAGAAACCTCGATTTATAATGATAAATAGAAAAATAGAAATATTTTCAAAATTTTGTCAAACGTTTTAAGGTTAGCGTTGTGAATCTGAGATGCCCTCTATAAATGGAGAATCATTTGATAATACTTTTACATTGGCGTCAAACCTTATAGAAATCCAACGTATAGAAACCGCTACGTATAGCAACATGGCGTATTTTCTTGGAGAACATTTTTATATTTTTGAGAAATTAAATAATCAGTGTAAAGTAGATATAATTTTCATAAAATCCTTTCATTTAAATGGTAAAACGGAATTTTATGAAATCATATTCGCATTACTGGAGAACTTTTTAATACTTTTGAGAAATTTTTTCTTCTGAAAATAAAACTGTAAAAAATAAATAAAAATTTTTAAATAGTAAATGCAAATTTATGTATAACCATATAATCATTCATAATATGTTGTCAGTACATAATAAAATCTGGGGGACCTTAAACACAATAGAGAGCAGTACAAATGTACATATTAAAATATTTTGCTCCTTTAATGTCTGGGTATGTTAAAAAAAATAGAAATTATGAAAATGATAATGATAAGCTACAATGTTTTACAAAAACGTTTAATGCTCAAAATATAAAAAATGTTCTCCCGGAAAATACCTCATGTTGCTAAACGTTGCTGTTTCTATACGTTGGATTTCTATAAGGTTTGACGCCCTTTTACATTCCCTTTAAACATTAAGATAAACTTCTATAAAATATGTATCTAAAATTTTCAGCTAAAAGAAGAAGTTGTTGATAAGGTTTTAGAAATGCATAAAACAATCTTGAGAAAGTGTACGGCACGGTGCATTGGATTTTTTATTGGTACAAAATGCTTTGCACGTTTTTTGTTGTGAAATTAAATAGTGACGTTTATTTATTGGGTTAATATTTGTACAATCTAGTAAGAATCTTTATTTATTTTGGACAATTAAAACGTTTTTTTTTGGATTAGAATAGGAGTATTTCTTTTTTGAGACAATTTTGAGCACGTTTTTTGGGATTAGAACAGGAGTATTTCTTTTTGTGAGACAATTTTGTGAGCACGTTTTTTTGGATTAGAAGAGGAATATTTCTTTTTTTGAGACAATTTTGTGAGCACGTTTTTTTGGATTAGAAGAGGAATATTTCTTTTTTTGAGTCAATTTAGTAAGCACGTTTTTTTGGACTAGAACAGGTGTATTTCTTTTTTGAGACAATTTAGTGAGCACGTTTTTTATTGCTACACTCAATAGACTAATTAAAAAATAGTTTTTGTTTCTTCAGTTGGTTAAAAACATTTCAAAACTAAGCGAAAAGTAATTTTGTTGAATTTATAAATGCACTAATAGAGAAGCGTTCAAGAAATTGCAGAAAGATTTGGAATTTAGTTAATTCTATTTAATATTTTGATTTAAATTGCATAAGGGAAAACGAGGTAGATATCTGCAGTCAAAAGAAAAACTGAAAATGCATCTGAATCGACCGTGGAAGGATTTGCAGTGCATATATGGTGAAATAAAAATCTGAAAAGCCGCAGAAGAAAAGTAAAGAAGGAAATTCAAAATATTTCTAAACCAAAACTTCATTCGATTAAAAATCATTTTTGAAAATGTAACAGTTTGTTTCGACATTTCTTAATTTATCATTGATTTATTATTGATTGATTATAGAGAATTCCTCTCATGTTTATTGAGACTCCCTCTCATGTTTATTGAGAATCACTCTCATGTTTATTAAGACTCCCTCTCATCATGTGTGTTGAGACTCCCTCTCATGTTTATTGAGACTCCCTCTCTTGTTTGTTAAGACTCCCTCTAATTTTTATGTAGACTCCCTCTTATGTGTATTGAGACTCCCTCTCATGTGTATTGATTGAGACTCCATCTCATTTTTATAGAGACTCGCTCTCTTGTTTGTTAAGACTCCATCTCATGTTTTTTTTTGACTCCCTCTCATGTATATTGAGACTCCCTCTCATGTGTATTGAGTCTCCCTCTTATGTTTATTAAGACTCCCTAAGAGTGTTGAGACTCCCTGATGTTGATTAAGACTCCCTCTCATGTGTATTGATTGAGATTCCCTCTCATGTTTTTTTGAGATTCTCTCTCTTATTTGTTGAGACTCCCTCTCAAATGTATTGAGACTCCCTGTCTCTAAAGACTGAACTTGACAATTACGCAGTATGTAAACTATGTTTAACTAGGGGAGTATGCCTTGATAGGGATAGATACTAAATGTATTAGGGCAAAGAAAAAGTCATCGTTTGCGTGGAAGCAATCTAACCTTGAAAATCCAGTTTTTTCAATAAGGATGGGTTTAAGGGATTATTGCTTAGTTTCGGAGCTAACAATGCTTTACAAAGATCATTCTTCAGTTGACATAAGGGATTATTACTTATTGTTGGCGTCAATGTTGGGTTAAAGTGAGATAAAGAGATTGTGACCTAGTTGTGAACCAAATAGATTATCATCAAGTATGTTTCTTTATCGTAAAGACAAGGAAGGGTTTAACTTCCAAGGGATTGTTTCCTAAAGATGAGATGCAACACTTTCACATAATTCTGCCCCTATTCTCCTTCTCTCTTTAGGATACTGATATTATGAACCTGATTTGAGTCTATGATAGTTTATGATAGGTTGGGAATAAATTCTCCCATGTTCAATATCATCTAGTCAGCTTAGCACCACCAGGCCCTGACAACTCCAGACGCATAAATATCATGTAAAGGAACCCACGTCATTGACAATATATATATTGGAGAGGAGGGGCAGGTATTGGAGGGAAGGTGGTATTGGAGGCTGAGGACGGTTATTATAATGGAGGTGCGGGTATTGGAGGTAAGGGATGTATTAGAGAGGAGTACACTGGGTATTTGAGGCAAGGGGCATGTATTGGAGGGGAGGATATAAATATTGGAGGGGAGAGGTAGGTATTGAACAGAAGGTGAGAAGGTATCGGAAGGGGTTTTGTATTGAAGAGGTTTTGTGCATTCGAGGAGGTGGGTATTGAAGGGAAGTATTGGAGGTAGATTGCAAGTTAAGAGTGAGGGTTTTTACAATCGCTGTGTACTTTATATATAAAAAAGATAAGATATTGGAGAGAAAAAAAGAAAATTAGTTTTTGGAATTGATAATTAAACTAGAAAGTAGAAACTGAAGGTAAAGATTTATTAAATAAATAATATTTAAAGGGAGTGACCGGCAATGTATGGTAGTAGACCAGAGATTGTAGTACTGTGGAAAAAAATTTTAGGATTCATTTGAGACATATAAAATGTTTTAGTGATGTATAATTACCGAATTTGAGCGCAAAGTCTATGTTCAAATCATCCGTTTGGGTGGTTACGTTTTGAGAATCGATTTTTTTTAATTATTAAATAACGACGGCGAAAAATGTAAAAAAATTTGCAGTAAACTAATTAGTTCTTTTGGAACAGAATGATAAAATA